ACTTGCTACCTGGGAGATGCTTCCCTACTACACTGATACGCTATGTCAAGACCCTGTGGTAAAGGAAGGAGCTTCTAAAAATTCATCATTGTGGGGGTCACCCTAACTCCAGCCTCTCACTGGTAGAGCTTATGTGTCTTCACTTTGGCAGCTCTCTTGTTTCTGACACAAGGATCAGTACACATCATCACTCCTATGTATATAACTGGCCAGCAGTAATAATGTGTGTGGCACCTTCCTCTATACATTAATCTTGTCCAGTGCTGCCACCTGGGAGCTCTCCTAGCAAATAGCAGCTTTCATCCCGAGTTCTCTTCACAGACAGGGTATTGTTGGTAGCTGTGCACTTGTCATGCCAAGCGCCTTGGTGAAATATGTGACATGTAACTAAGATATTCCTTAAAATATTTTCAGACTGAGCTGTATAAGAAATAATGTCTGGCTTGCATGCTGTGGAGTGGTTTCTGCCGGTTTAGCTGTATTAAGCAGCTTTGGATTGATGCTCTTCTGTGGAGTGCTGTTTGCAGTCACTGTAGCAAACGCACCATTTCTTATTCTGGGTAAGTAGAAAAAGTGACTCGGATTCAAATATGAAGACTAAAGTGGAGTTAAAACAAACTGACAGTGTCAGTCTTAGGATGTGAGCATCCGCTCCTGTGTGGTTGAGTCCTGCAGTGAGGGGGGGAGACAGGCAGAGGTGCAACCGCTTCTGAGCTCAGCTCGGCATCCCCGCACTGGGGCTGGAGCTGGGCTCCGGCGGAAGGGCAGCTTCCCCAAAAAGCACTGCCTGCTCTAGTTGTCCTGTGATGGCATGAAAACTCAAAATGAGAGGGTGGTAGGGTTAGCACTTCTGGCATTGTTCTAGTGACCCTGGTAACTTAGCCATGGCAATTAGTCATTTAACTAGCACTAATACTTGAGTTGAGCTCAGCTGGGTTCTGTCACCGCATTCCCCTGTGTCATCCCCTGCTGTTTTCTGAAGATGCACTCTTTAAGCATTTACATGTCTCGTTAGCTCCGGATAAGTTTGTTCACCCCAGACTGGTTTGTTGTTAGCACTGATCTGTGGGACTGCTGAATTTGTCAGCAGCATAAGCAGATGCAGAGGTCTCCCACAAAGCATCCAACCCTTGACCACCTCTTTTTGTGGTACAGTGAGTGTGCTCTACTTCTCTGCTGTTAGTCAGCCTTGGGGTAGCTCAAGAGCAGCACTGGGGATCATGACCAGTGTGCAGCTTGTGCTACCCTAGCACGGACTTCATCCAGCACCTTTCTTAGGAGGTGACTACAGGAAGTAAGTTACCGTAAGTTTTTGTATCCTGTTTTCAGAGTGTAGTCTTTGGCCAGATAAAATTGGGCCTGAGTATAGCTTAAGCAATGAACAGGACTGTCTGTCATTTCAAATAAGAAATCCATCTTGTTTTGTTAAGATACGAAATTGCCTCTGCAGTATGACTCTGTGCTTAACAGCCTCCTTCAGCTATATAACTGAAGGGATGCACCATTTGTGCAACCATCTCCCGCCAGAAGGCAAAGCAGTTAGTATCATTGCACTGCAGTTGCACAGACTGCCTGGCAGGCAGTGCTGAACTTCCCAAATAACGTGAGGCAGTATTGCTGCAAATAAATTACTGCTCTTAAAACCCTTATCTGACCCCCTGTATGATAAATCTGTGTGATGTTTTCTTGATCTTGGTCTCATGCTGACAAAAGCATACAGAACTCCCAGGTTGATAGAGGTTCTGCATCATGCTAGATGTCTAATGCAAATGCTCATTAAGGCACACATGATTTGTTTCCTGTGTAATTCAAATGCATTTTCTATTTGCTTTTGTTTGTTCATCAATTGTAGAGGCGCTGAATTTCAAAAGGACCCTTTTGTGTACCTGGGAAAGGGTTTAAGCCTGTCTCTTCAGGTCGTTATAAATAACATGCAGAGTTTTCTCTTCCTTGCGTTAAAGCAAACAAATTATCAGTACATCAGATGAATTGCTTTGACCTCTGCCTCCTTTCTTGAAGCAGTATGGTTCTCTGCCATCCACTAGTACCTTTTGATAGGCTGCTTAATTCATTTCTGCATGTCTACTGGCAATTGCCTGTAGACAGGCAGCAGGTGGTGATTTCATTTATTCTTTTATGCTTAACTATATGATCTGTGCTTGCTTTTCTGTTCACCTGGTCTTGCTTTCCCTTTTTGTGTGATTAAAATACTGTAAGGTCTGTGATTAAGGTCTCGAGAGTTACCAGAGCTGGGAGAAACATACTGGCTCTTCCTTTTTGAACTCTGGCTCACTTACCTACTCTTGGATCTTAGACTGGGTCCTGGTTAGAGTTTTCACTTCCTGGCAGGGTTTCCCAGGACTCTGGTGGGTAATATATATGTGAGCGCATCAGTATAATGTGAAGATGAATGAATAGTAAATCATGAAGAAATGCTTGAAGATAAACTGGAGAGAAGTGGAGAGCAAAGAGCATTAAAAAGTGAACCACTGGAAAACTGGGATCGCTGTTCTCCCATGCACATAGCAAATGTTCTCTCTCTGCTGAAGGCAGAGCAAGAAATTATCGGTCTAATTTTTTGCAGTGGTGAAGAGAGAGTCCAGAGATAATGGGGGATGCTTCCAGTGATCGGGGTGGTTGAGCATCAGAATAAGGAGTATATTTAAATCGCTGGCTGCCGGGACAGCAGATACAACGCACTTGCCAGAGATGGACTAGGTGTGCCCAGTCCTTTGTCAGGGTAGGGTGAGGGATCAACAACTCATCAGGTCACCAAGAGTTTCTGACTCATAATAAATTTCAGCTACACACAAAGGATTCATTTTCATATGTCTGCTTAACTCGCATCAGTGCTAAAACAGTGTTAACAGCCTAGTTTGCTTTTTTGAAATGTTATGCCAACTTAAATGTAATTAATTTTGTACTTTTGTTGGGTGTTAGTGGAAGCTGCCATTTGCAATGCAGCATTAACTTTTTCTCCTCTTGCAGGAGTTGGTGTTGATGACATGTTCATCATGATCGCTTGCTGGGAGCAAAGTTCAAGAAGCAAAACGAAATCTGATGTTAAATCTCTGCTGGCAGAGACTTATGCAGAAGCAGCACTTTCTGTGACCATCACCACGCTCACAGATGTTTTGGCCTTCTTTGTTGGCACCTGGACTGCTTTTCCATCTGTGAGATCATTTTGCCTCTATACAGGCACTGCTTTTGTCTTCTGCTATATATATACCATGACCTTCCTTGGGGGAATTATTGTATTAAATCATAAAAGGGAACAAGGAAACCGACACTGGCTAACTTGCATGCCTGTGGGGGTAGATAAAGACCAGGCAGAGAAGTCCTGCTGGTACAATGTTTGCTGTATAGGCAACTGTTCTAGGCAGTCACCTCAACCAGAAGGTGAGCACCCAATGAGCATATTCTTTAGGAAGTATTACGGCCCTTTTTTTACAAATAAATGGGTCAAGCTACTTGTGGTGTTGCTGTATGGAGCATATTTGGGTGGCAGTATTTATGGATGTACTCAGATCAGGGAAGGCATCGATCTTCGAAATCTGGCAAGTGATGACTCCTACGTTATTCCGTACTATGATGACGACAGCAAGTACTTCTCAGATTATGGGCCCAGGGTCATGGTTGTCATTACTGAAAGTGTAGATTACTGGAATGAAACTGTTCGTCTGGGTATTGAGAACTGCACCAAGAAAATAGAGAGCATCTCCTATGTAAATAAGAACTACACAGAGTCATGGCTGAGAGTATACACAAAAAGTGCCCAGAGTGGTTCAATAGATATAAACAATAAGACTATTTTCATTAGTAACTTGCCTGAGCTGTTCAGAATTGTTCCCAGTTTTGAGTGGGACATTAACAAGACTCAGGATAAAATAGAAGCTTCACGTTTCTTCATCCAGACTGTGAACGTGACCTCAGCCATTGATGAGAAGAATCTCCTCAACGAGTTAAGAGAGACAGCCAAGCAGTGTAGTATTCCCTTAATGGTGTACCACCCCGCCTTCATCTACTACGACCAGTATCTGGTGATAGTGCAGAACACCATTCAGAACGTTGTCGTTGCTGCAGGAGCAATGCTCATTGTCTCCCTTTGGCTTATTCCCAACCCATTGTGTTGCCTATGGGTGACCTTTGCTATAGCTTCTGTTATCGTTGGTGTTGCTGGTTTCATGACATTTTGGAGCGTCAACCTGGATTCCATATCCATGATCAACCTGGTCATTTGCATAGGGTTTTCAGTCGATTTTTCTGCTCATATTTCCTACGCCTTTGTTACAAGCAGAGAGTCATCAGCCAACCAAAGAGCAGTTGAAGCTCTGTCCCTGCTAGGTTACCCAGTCTTACAAGGTGCTGTTTCTACTATATTAGGAGTAGTTGTCCTGGCTGCAGCAAAGACCTACATCTTTAGGACATTCTTTAAGATCATGTTCCTTGTTATTTTGTTTGGGGCTCTTCATGGTCTTGTCTTTATTCCAGTGTTTTTAACCTTTTTTGGAAAATGTGGCATATCACCCCACACGACAGAATCTAAAAATCTAGAGCTTAGGTTTAGAAATGATAAAGATTGTCCGTGACCAAGTTAAATGTAATATATTCTGTATTTATTTTATGTAGATTAAAATGCACTGACTTTCAGGGAATATAAGAAGAAAATGAAGGACAGAAAATTAAATACAACAGGGAAGCAAAGGCTTTAGAAAAGCCAGGCCAGAAGAATAACAGAAGAAGAAATGAAAATGCACAGAATAGATTTGCATTTCTCATTTTTGTCTGTGCATGACTAACACCTGAATGTTGTTAAATATATATTTTTTGTGACTTGTTTACTGAATGTATTAAAATTACTATAAATACTGACCACAGCCTGAGCTTAATGGACTGGGTTACAGGTTTGTCATGCAGTGCATAGAGGAGGGAAGAGTAACTTCCCCTGGCTTGCATTTCCTGTCTGTTTACCTTGATGCTGTAACTCAGCCCAGCACGGAACCTGAAGACAGTTTTCTCCCGAGAGGCTCAAACCTGGAGCTTTTACAGCAGGATTACAAGGGGTCAGATCTGCCTTGTACTGCAGGGACTCCCTAAGCCTTCAGGAGCCAAAGGCAGCTTCAGCTCCTAATGCAGCACTCTCAGGGAAACTGACTCACATTTTCTGTTCAGATCTGTTTTCTTGGTGTCCCCTTTTCTTGTGAAGATTAAACAGCTACTGCTGGCTACAATTTGTGAAGAGAGATGCTGTGGGTGATTGAACCTCTGTGGACCTCCCAGGTAACCACCGTGGAAGACACTGTGCCACAGCACAACAGGGCAGGGATTCACTGGAGAGAATCGGGCCCTGATTGAGGACAAAGTGAAAAAGCAATTTGGGTTTCAGCCAGTCAGTCCAGAAACCATAAACCCATAAATTCTGTTGTGTTCATCAGTGATGCCCCATCCTGTGATGCGTTCATAGAGCAGAGGAACCTTCACTGAGTAAGAACTAAGAATATATGAGGTTGTCTTTTAACCTGTAAGGACAAGATGCTGGATGAAAAGTCAATTCATAATCTGTTGCCAATTTAATGAGCTACTTGTTGGAGATCAAATGACTGATGGTAACTGATGTGTGTAATTTTGGAAAAATTGGTCTAGGAGTTATTAAAACATTCAGCCCAAATCTGCAGCTGTGCAGTGTTTCTTCTGAGAGATGCAGCAAGTGGGACAGAACCAGGGTCTGTCTCTGTTCTGTGGGGATTTCTGACCAGTTGCATGAGACCAAGTAGACAGGGCAGAATCCTTCTGCTTCCTTCATGATGTCTCTGTTTATGGAGACAATGGACTGGAAGTCAAGTCAAGGCCTCAATGGCAAATAAACATCAGACTGTGAATAAGAAAAAGAACATTATAAAAAAAAACAAAGCAAACTAAAAGCCAAAATAAAAAAACACCAAAAAACCAAGCAAGCTACTAGCAGCTAAAATGTTTTCAGGAACTGTTACCTGGAGGCAGCTTCTCCTCTGCCTTAGGCCCAGCTAACAGCTCCCAGCACAGTGCCGGTGTGAGGAAGAAGAGGGAAGGAGCCCACCCGGAGTGCAGAGCGAGAGAGAAAACAAGGTGGCAAAAGTTTAGGGGGTCCTGGCCCCTCTGACCCACTGCAGCCCCAGCTCAGCCCTCACAGTCTCGCGTCACCTCCCCTGAATGATGAGCTGGGCTAAAAGCCTTTTCCTGCCCAGGTTTTGTTTCATCATGGATGGTGACCTTTATGCCATTATCAAATCCAAAGAAAGAGGAGAGGGAAGGGACAGGAGGTGTCACTGGAACAAAAAACAGAGAGTGAAGGTTAACACTGAGAGCAGAAGGAAGACGAGGACTCCCAGCCATGCAGCTGAGACATCCACCCACAGATCTTCCCAGGCAAGCAGGCTGGAAGTCAGAGATGGCTTGAACTTTAACATGGCTCACAATACAAGCTGGTCTATTCACCTGTCTTTCTCTGCACTCTCAAAG